GAGCTGAGATATCGAAACTCAAAAATTCGGCCCGAAAAAAAAACGACAGTGGTACCCCTTACGTTTTTTTTTTTGGGCGAAAAATTAAGTTTCTCCAATCTTCCCAAAACTCTGGATTCTGATAGAGGGCCATGAGACTTAGACCTGAGTGCAAAAATGGAGGCTCTAGCCCCTTCCAGAGCTGAGATATCGAAACTCAAAAATTCGGCCCGAAAAAAAAACGACAGTGGTACCCCTTACGTTTTTTTTTTTGGGCGAAAAATTAAGTTTCTCCAATCTTCCCAAAACTCTGGATTCTGATAGAGGGCCATGAGACTTAGACCTGAGTGCAAAAATGGAGGCTCTAGCCCCTTCCAGAGCTGAGATATCGAAACTCAAAAATTCGGCCCGAAAAAAAAAACGACAGTGGTACCCCTTACGTTTTTTTTTTTGGGCGAAAAATTAAGTTTCTCCAATCTTCCCAAAACTCTGGATTCTGATAGAGGGCCATGAGACTTAGACCTGAGTGCAAAAATGGAGGCTCTAGCCCCTTCCAGAGCTGAGATATCGAAACTCAAAAATTCGGCCCGAAAAAAAAACGACAGTGGTACCCCTTACGTTTTTTTTTTTGGGCGAAAAATTAAGTTTCTCCAATCTTCCCAAAACTCTGGATTCTGATAGAGGGCCATGAGACTTAGACCTGAGTGCAAAAATGGAGGCTCTAGCCCCTTCCAGAGCTGAGATATCGAAACTCAAAAATTCGGCCCGAAAAAAAAACGACAGTGGTACCCCTTACGTTTTTTTTTTGGGCGAAAAATTAAGTTTCTCCAATCTTCCCAAAACTCTGGATTCTGATAGAGGGCCATGAGACTTAGACCTGAGTGCAAAAATGGAGGCTCTAGCCCCTTCCAGAGCTGAGATATCGAAACTCAAAAATTCGGCCCGAAAAAAAAACGACAGTGGTACCCCTTACGTTTTTTTTTTTGGGCGAAAAATTAAGTTTCTCCAATCTTCCCAAAACTCTGGATTCTGATAGAGGGCCATGAGACTTAGACCTGAGTGCAAAAATGGAGGCTCTAGCCCCTTCCAGAGCTGAGATATCGAAACTCAAAAATTCGGCCCGAAAAAAAAAACGACAGTGGTACCCCTTACGTTTTTTTTTTTGGGCGAAAAATTAAGTTTCTCCAATCTTCCCAAAACTCTGGATTCTGATAGAGGGCCATGAGACTTAGACCTGAGTGCAAAAATGGAGGCTCTAGCCCCTTCCAGAGCTGAGATATCGAAACTCAAAAATTCGGCCCGAAAAAAAAAACGACAGTGGTACCCCTTACGTTTTTTTTTTTGGGCGAAAAATTAAGTTTCTCCAATCTTCCCAAAACTCTGGATTCTGATAGAGGGCCATGAGACTTAGACCTGAGTGCAAAAATGGAGGCTCTAGCCCCTTCCAGAGCTGAGATATCGAAACTCAAAAATTCGGCCCGAAAAAAAAACGACAGTGGTACCCCTTACGTTTTTTTTTTTGGGCGAAAAATTAAGTTTCTCCAATCTTCCCAAAACTCTGGATTCTGATAGAGGGCCATGAGACTTAGACCTGAGTGCAAAAATGGAGGCTCTAGCCCCTTCCAGAGCTGAGATATCGAAACTCAAAAATTCGGCCCGAAAAAAAAACGACAGTGGTACCCCTTACGTTTTTTTTTTTGGGCGAAAAATTAAGTTTCTCCAATCTTCCCAAAACTCTGGATTCTGATAGAGGGCCATGAGACTTAGACCTGAGTGCAAAAATGGAGGCTCTAGCCCCTTCCAGAGCTGAGATATCGAAACTCAAAAATTCGGCCCGAAAAAAAAACGACAGTGGTACCCCTTACGTTTTTTTTTTTGGGCGAAAAATTAAGTTTCTCCAATCTTCCCAAAACTCTGGATTCTGATAGAGGGCCATGAGACTTAGACCTGAGTGCAAAAATGGAGGCTCTAGCCCCTTCCAGAGCTGAGATATCGAAACTCAAAAATTCGGCCCGAAAAAAAAAACGACAGTGGTACCCCTTACGTTTTTTTTTTTGGGCGAAAAATTAAGTTTCTCCAATCTTCCCAAAACTCTGGATTCTGATAGAGGGCCATGAGACTTAGACCTGAGTGCAAAAATGGAGGCTCTAGCCCCTTCCAGAGCTGAGATATCGAAACTCAAAAATTCGGCCCGAAAAAAAAACGACAGTGGTACCCCTTACGTTTTTTTTTTTGGGCGAAAAATTAAGTTTCTCCAATCTTCCCAAAACTCTGGATTCTGATAGAGGGCCATGAGACTTAGACCTGAGTGCAAAAATGGAGGCTCTAGCCCCTTCCAGAGCTGAGATATCGAAACTCAAAAATTCGGCCCGAAAAAAAAACGACAGTGGTACCCCTTACGTTTTTTTTTTTGGGCGAAAAATTAAGTTTCTCCAATCTTCCCAAAACTCTGGATTCTGATAGAGGGCCATGAGACTTAGACCTGAGTGCAAAAATGGAGGCTCTAGCCCCTTCCAGAGCTGAGATATCGAAACTCAAAAATTCGGCCCGAAAAAAAAACGACAGTGGTACCCCTTACGTTTTTTTTTTTGGGCGAAAAATTAAGTTTCTCCAATCTTCCCAAAACTCTGGATTCTGATAGAGGGCCATGAGACTTAGACCTGAGTGCAAAAATGGAGGCTCTAGCCCCTTCCAGAGCTGAGATATCGAAACTCAAAAATTCGGCCCGAAAAAAAAACGACAGTGGTACCCCTTACGTTTTTTTTTTTGGGCGAAAAATTAAGTTTCTCCAATCTTCCCAAAACTCTGGATTCTGATAGAGGGCCATGAGACTTAGACCTGAGTGCAAAAATGGAGGCTCTAGCCCCTTCCAGAGCTGAGATATCGAAACTCAAAAATTCGGCCCGAAAAAAAAACGACAGTGGTACCCCTTACGTTTTTTTTTTTTGGGCGAAAAATTAAGTTTCTCCAATCTTCCCAAAACTCTGGATTCTGATAGAGGGCCATGAGACTTAGACCTGAGTGCAAAAATGGAGGCTCTAGCCCCTTCCAGAGCTGAGATATCGAAACTCAAAAATTCGGCCCGAAAAAAAAACGACAGTGGTACCCCTTACGTTTTTTTTTTTGGGCGAAAAATTAAGTTTCTCCAATCTTCCCAAAACTCTGGATTCTGATAGAGGGCCATGAGACTTAGACCTGAGTGCAAAAATGGAGGCTCTAGCCCCTTCCAGAGCTGAGATATCGAAACTCAAAAATTCGGCCCGAAAAAAAAAACGACAGTGGTACCCCTTACGTTTTTTTTTTTGGGCGAAAAATTAAGTTTCTCCAATCTTCCCAAAACTCTGGATTCTGATAGAGGGCCATGAGACTTAGACCTGAGTGCAAAAATGGAGGCTCTAGCCCCTTCCAGAGCTGAGATATCGAAACTCAAAAATTCGGCCCGAAAAAAAAAACGACAGTGGTACCCCTTACGTTTTTTTTTTGGGCGAAAAATTAAGTTTCTCCAATCTTCCCAAAACTCTGGATTCTGATAGAGGGCCATGAGACTTAGACCTGAGTGCAAAAATGGAGGCTCTAGCCCCTTCCAGAGCTGAGATATCGAAACTCAAAAATTCGGCCCGAAAAAAAAACGACAGTGGTACCCCTTACGTTTTTTTTTTTGGGCGAAAAATTAAGTTTCTCCAATCTTCCCAAAACTCTGGATTCTGATAGAGGGCCATGAGACTTAGACCTGAGTGCAAAAATGGAGGCTCTAGCCCCTTCCAGAGCTGAGATATCGAAACTCAAAAATTCGGCCCGAAAAAAAAAACGACAGTGGTACCCCTTACTTTTTTTTTTGGGGCGAAAAATTAAGTTTCTCCAATCTTCCCAAAACTCTGGATTCTGATAGAGGGCCATGAGACTTAGACCTGAGTGCAAAAATGGAGGCTCTAGCCCCTTCCAGAGCTGAGATATCGAAACTCAAAAATTCGGCCCGAAAAAAAAAAACGACAGTGGTACCCCTTACGTTTTTTTTTTTTGGGCGAAAAATTAAGTTTCTGCAATCTTCCCAAAACTCTGGATTCTGATAGAGGGCCATGAGCAGAGCCGGCTGCAGAAACAAACCAATGGACGGGCATTTAATATTGTAGTGGGGGGGCCTAATTATGACATCCAATACATTTTTCTATAGGACAAAAAACAACTATTACGCCGATTTCAAGTACCAGGCGTAATTTGCGGGTGGGATATGTCCCCACCGTCGATATTGTACCCACCACTTTTGAAACATTCCGGCACGAATGTACCAATACAAATAAACAAAACATCTTCAGTTAACTAGCAGAGCATTCGTTTCGTTCGTTTTTTAAATAAGAGACGATCTAGCGCTGAAATGTGTTTTTAAAATCAACTGTTCAAATTAATGCTCGTTGCCGCTGGCGCGGATAGGCTAATGTGTTTTTTTTTCTGGCTTGCGCACAGTCTTCACTCGAACGCGCAATCCATTGTGGAGAGACTCTATTCATTACGGTGAAATTAAAACACAAAATGTTCTAAAGATGTTTTGTCTGTGCCTGATATACAACCACTGATAAACATAATCAGTTTTGATGGGAAAAAAAAATGTTATTAGAACGGATTAGAACCCAGAATCTCTGGCACGCTTAAGTTCTACCCCTGGACCATTATTTACATTCACGTTTAATACAAATATAAAGGCGTAATTGAACGACCACATAAACCTAAATCAATAACTATTTAAATCGATTAAAGGATATCGTAATGTTATTGTACATATCTGTTTTATGATTTAGCATTGTGTCAGGGCTGGTGCAACTTAAGAAGAGTAATAAAAATAACTGGCCCACTCATGTTCTTAATACAGCTGAAGTCGACGTTTTTGGGAGTGGAATCTCCGCATGAGTTATTCAATACATTATTTTTATTTTTAAAATAAATTTCTTTTTAAAATTTATTAATTGCAAATTGCATGGAGAGGGGGGCACAGGCGCCTAAGGCCCGCCCATAGCGCCGGGTATGCTGCACTCTATGATAATTTACCAAAAATGTACCTTCTCATTGAAAACAACAAATGCCCAGTTGTCTGCTCCTTTCTGAAGAACAAAGACAATGTTTCCAGGCAACACAGCCAGCTCTTCTTTGGTCTCAGGAACAAACTCATAGAGAACAGTGTGTGGCACACCTTCAAATACCCTGTTGATTATGACATTTACATTTACTGATAGTTTTGAATAGTTCATCCAAAAATTACAATTCTGCCACTGACTTCAATAGTATATATTTCAAGTCAACGACTACTGTCAAATGTTTGGTTTCTTACATTCTTCAAAATATCTTTTGTGATTTGCAGAGTTATGCAGACACATGATATACACAAAACAAAATGATACAATAACTCCCCAAACTGAATATAGCTTATGTTTAAGTTGTAGAGAGTTTGAGGTTTATATGCATTAAATATTGTTCTTCATTTTAAACATGACCTTGAATTATTTTTACCTTAGTACTTCTGGGACTTTTGGTGTGGAAGGAACATTGTCAACCTACGTAAACAATACACAATTTATGTGGTCATTAAAATTGGTTAAGCATTAACATATATTCACACCTCTCTCAGTTATTCTATACTACTGTTAACATCACTACTTACTTGAGGCTGAAGTGGAGCAAAACCAGAAAACTGATCTGCAGGTACAATAGAAGATACAACCTATGAAAAGAAAAACAATAGCCTTAATCAGTTTTGTCAAGTTTAATGGCCAAATAGGAAAGGGGTCGTTTCAGTAAGTGGATAAAGGTTTTAGTGATTGCACGCTGTATTAATTTGATAATAATGGGTACCTTGGCTTTTCCAAGATAGTCTTTTTTCTCCAGCTCTGCCACATAGTGCTTATTGGGTTTGAATAGCAGCCCTACTCGAATCTCTACCAGAGGGAAGAGCTTCTGCTTCTGGAAAGATGAAATCACAATGTGTAGACTTAGTTTAAAACAATGCATCAAGACAACCACAGCATACAATTCACGCTGGGTTGCGCTATATCAGCGTAATATAACTGTTTTTAATTTTGTTCTTACCTTTTAAGGTTATCCTGATGCAACAGTTTTAAAATATGTCATTTTAAATGCTTTAAATTAAAATGCTTATGAAGAATAACACATGCACACAGATGAAGCATGACTTTATCTGTCTTTTTTGAATTTTGTCCTTCCTGAAACTTACACAACTTCCTACAAATCCTATAACCACCGATTATGCAACAAATTATGCAATTTAACCCAATTTTAGTTAAAACTGCAATCTGTTACAAAAGAACAACAGCACACATAAGCGCACACTTTAGATTTGAGATAAACTTCATGACTATAATTAAAAAAAACATCCAATGTGGGTGGCAACTTTATACGGCTACATTTCTGTCAGTAATTTTCAAATCATGTTTAAAATTCTACTGATAATTAAGTGGATGACTTTAGCAGACAGACCAGTATGGCATCCAGAGCGTGGTCAATATGGCTGAATTTGGCATCTGCCCTCAGGCTCAGAGCAGTAAGAAGATTTTCTTGAGCTTTTTCCCATTTTCCCAACTGAGCCTGTACCAGCCCTATGTTGTGCAGCACCTAAATGTTACATGGGACAAAACAGCAGCATCAGAGAATGAACTGAGAGCTTGTTGGTTCGACTTTTGCTTTAGCATTATGGGGGAAAGCTTTGCCAATGATAAAGTCATGCTAAATACAGTACATGTTAAATAATGAATCAAGTGCATCACTAATAAATCATGAGTCATTCACATCACATCTATTAGTGTATAAAATCGAAAAAGGTGAAAAACAAGATTCTATGCACATTGTTAAATGCATGGCACAACTCTTGCCTTACCTCACAAGCATACAGTTTATGTCTCAACCCCAGAGGTTTGTAATCTATTAGTTGATTTCCTCTTAATTGCTTAAATGCCTGTTGGAAATCTAGAAGAGACTCTTCAAACCTGTAGATACAATTATGAAGATGAAGAAGTGGCAAAAGAGAAACAGAATGTGCTGGGTTGTCCCTTATGCAAAAGAAAATATATTTTCTTATAGGCTATATTAATGATCAGTGTATTACATTTTTTAATGTATATTGAAAATATAATGAATAATACATTGTGTTAATATATCACAATATATACAAAAAATATATGAGGAATTGCCATATATTGAAATTGGTGACAACACATTTACATATATACAGTATATCGCAATGTATGTAATTTTATATTCATTAATATCATTCTTTAATATATACTGTAGATACATGAGATAAAATGTGGTACTGTGTGTTTAAATATATATCCTATTGTCACGATTTGGTCTTGTCTCGGTCACATTTTGGTTTGTTCATGTCATGTTCCATGTCTGTCATGTGTCCCTGTTTGTTATGTGATCCTGCAATGTGTCTTGTCATTGGTTAATTGTCAGTTCACAGGTGTCACTTGGTACTCAATTGTGAGGAAATATATATTGTGATATCTATGTATTATTTATATTTATTTATAGTAGCCTACATAAAGCACCAATCTAATTTTCCACCTACCATGTTGCCATGACATTAGACATCCAATTGTCCAGAAAACCTAAACTTTTAATTTGTTTTCAATGAACACTTATTTTATTAAATATTACATCACACATATTTTCATATGAAATGTGTAACTATTCAAACAATAAATTGCGATAATTTATGTTCAGCTTTATGACAAAACAAGTGTTAACTCTTGAAAGATAAATTAATTGAATGTTTAAATAAAGCTATTACTGTACATGTAAAAACCTGTAGTGCAGATTTTGTCTTTACCGCTATTATATATATATATATATATATATAGCCATGCAAGGTCATGGTATATATTGAAAAATATAAGCACTAGTTTTCCATTTATGTAAATGTATTGAATTTATTCCACAATATTTTCCTATATTTCTTAATGTGTCATGAAGAGATGGTAATTGCCTTACCTTTCCTTTTTGTAGAATGCAACTCCTCTCTGAAAAAAGGCCACCGCCAGGTGTTCATCTTTGCCAATACTTCCATCAAATGCCTTAAGATGTATGACAGAAATAAAAGTTCCCCGTAAAGAGTGAAACCACTTTTACTTCCCTTTTTACAGCCACATTTTTTTAAAGTAGTAAAAAAAACATCTTCAAATCAATTTAAAGAACATATCCTAAAAAGTAGTATAAAACACTTAATCTGCCCAGTAACTGTACCTTTTCAGCTTCATCCAGCTCATGGTTGTTCAAATAAAGACAGCCAATGTTGAAGGCAATCTTGGAGTTTTTCTCCTCAATGTTGAGGAATATCCTGAGAGCAGAGTCTGGGTCTCTTTGCTCCACACAAGCCACGGCCTCGTCCCACTGACGGAGGGTGCTTACAAATGACATGTTCCCTCAGAAGACTTAACAATGAACAAATTAATGGTGTACTTCTCTATTGTGAGCCCAGTAGAGGGAATCTAAAAGTTATCTTAGAGAACAAGCCCATCCCCTCTGAGAGAGAGGAAGTGATCAGCTTTACGTCACTTGCTTTTTATTTGTTTCCTCACTTGCCATTTGAGTTCACTTTTTTCGGTGTTAGTGAGGCATACTAATTAATAAGTTAATCTAACCAAAGGTAGCAGGCTCTTATTTTGTTAAGCTTTTAAGAGTGAGGCATGTTTTGTCTCTACACCAAGAGTGTTGTGGCGTCATGGTACAATGATTGTATCAGATGGTAATATGATGACACATTCACATGCCACTAAATGATGTGCTTTGGTATTTAGATGGTATTCCAACGCTTATAAAAATATCTAACAACAGTATGTCTGAAAAATCAGGGTCATTATTATAGACAGACAGATATTATTGAATACTCTGTTATGGATATTCCTAAAAAGGAATACATGACCCAAAATTAATACTGCTGGTTTAGATAATGGCTCAATCCAACAGCATTTGGGATAAAGCATTTACATGACACACTGGAATATGGACATTACTTATATTGATCATATATCATTGTGGGGTACGATATTAAAGGGTAATTCCACCTGTGGAGACATGAAATGTATTGCAAGTGGGTCATATATGTAGTAGAATAGTATCATAAATTTATCATTTGGGTCCTTCTTGGCCTATAAAAGGCGGAAAATTACTTTTTTAGTGCTCGTGGATTGTAGACCACAATCCCCATAGTGCATTGCAATGCTCAGTTCCACAGGCCGCTCCCACTACTCTGCTCATCAATGTAGACTAGAGTTGAACTCCACTCTACGCTACTGCCTGGAAATCATTTCACACAATGAAATCAGATAATGCGCGCTAATATAATATGACGACGTAAGAGCGTCAAGGCAGCGCCTGCGCCATCAGTCATTGGATTGTTGTGATTTTATATGGCATTCTCATCCTTTAGCGTCATATAGAACGCTATATGACAAAACGGCGCTATACTACGCACATGGCACCCGTTATCCTTAATATAACACGCGCTGTGATGGTTTGGTTTAGGTGTGGGGTAGGGTAGGGTAGTCTCATATTACGCAAAAGGATTTATGACGCCTTGGGTTCGCATGAATATTAACGATAAAGGGTGCCATGTGCGTAGTATAGCGCCGTTTTGTCATATAGCGTTCTATGTGACGCTAAAGGATGAGAACAGGGGCTTCAGACAATCGCCACACTTACTTTGACGCATAATTTTACACGTGAAATGCAGCCAAACCTTGGAGCGTTTTGCATGTCTTCGGCATCTTCATTAATCCCTTCGCTATCAGACGTTCCGGAAGTCTCCCACATATTGATAACGGCTCCCTGATGCAAATTAGTTAAAATCTCCCGGAATCTAGCATGAGTGAGCAAGAGCGCGCACGAGGGAGAGAGAGAGAGACTTCGCGTGTGTGCGCCTCATGACACAGGGACTCAGGCACCGAAATTTTTGTTCTTATTCAGTCTGGTTATTACCGTTTACGTCGGAACCGGTTCCCTATTGGCGTTTCGGCAGCCAACCCTATAATGCGTCTGCGTATTCAGTAGCCTACCTTCGTCCATATTTTCACAAAGTTTCTGCCGGTGCAATCAAACGCACTGGCACTGATCTGTGATAGGTCTGTTAGCGCATTAGGTCTAATCCTGGTGCTTGTAGACTTTACAGAAATTCCAACTCTTACACGTCCTCCTACAATGACGTAAAATGACGATTTTTTCATCATTGTAGGAGGAAGTGAAAAGGGTAAATAGAGGATTTCTCTCGTCTCGTCTCAGAATGTTTCAAAATAAACATTCTGTCAGCTAAACATTAAGACACCTGTTTACTTCTGAAGTAGTGATTCTTTTCAAGCTTATTATTAAACATTCATGACAATGTAATTATACATTTTTTTACAGTGTTATTATACATTTGTTACATTATTATAATTATTTTACATTTGTTTCTGTTACATTATTCTTTTTGAAAAAAATAGTAAGCGATTCTTTATAAAAAAGTAATTATATATTTGTTAGTCTAATTATCGGTTTATTACAATATATTTATACCTTTATTACAATGTAATTATACATTGAAAAATGTAGCCTAGCAATTTTTTTTGAAAAAGTAGTGATTTAACAGAATTTGTAAGTAAGCTACACTTTTTAATTATGAATATTATATTTTATTCTGCTGCGCTTAACACGTTTTCTCAGAGTTTAGGCTCCTGTGTAATAGTAGCCTTGGCTATTAGGAAAGTCAAACATACCAAACCTACTAAAAAAAAAAAAAAAAAACACAAAATCTGATTTTGCACGGGCATTGCACTAGTGCTATTATTAAAAATTAAATGTTCGAAGTACCATCCTACACAAGGTAAGTTACAACCATTATATCGCTGGTTGCCCGGGCAACCGCTGGAGCTACTGGGAAGAGGAAATAGCCACTCCAGCTGCGAGATCGCTACGGTATGCGATACATGGCATTTCCTGTCAGTGTAAATAGACAGTCGGCTGACATGACTTCACTTACAATCCACTGCCTTTGAGTTAACAAAAGGACACCCAACGAAGCTTTCTCCATGAAAGAGCCGTTCTTCACTGCAGATGCATGCTGCGGTGGGTTAACGTGCTGATGTTAGCAAGCTAACATGGACCTTGGATCAATGCTGTACAACAGTTTAAAAGATGTAACGTGGAGTACGACGACACTACCTTTGGATAGACTTGTTAGTGCCTACAGACTGCCACAGATTGTGAAGTTGGACAGCGGTAAGGTTTGTCCTGAATTATTGGTGTTGTGTGCAGTAGCGGCAGCTGCGCGTGGGCGGTCGCGCTCCTGTGGAATTCCAATCATTAGCCGCTTCGCGCTAGGCTAACGCGAAGCTTTATCAACACACACAGCGGAACACCTTTAAACCTGGGCCTTTACTGCCATCGCTTACACAGTCTACGTTACAACTGATGCGTGTTTAGTTGTTTTGAGTCGGTTAAAGATCAAACGGCCAAATAAAAGGCAGAAATGTGAGCTATGGACGTTAGCAAGCTAACGCAAATTAGCCAGAGGCCAGATTGTTTAATAACAAAAACATCAACCATATAGTTAAGTTAACATTTCATTTGTATTACAAAATTCCTTGGTTTTCCGAACTAGACCGCAACCTCCTCAATTCTGAGACTTTAGGTGCGAGAAACACTCAAATAATAATTATATAAACACGAATAATACACAGTCAAAGGAGTTGTTTATTTATTATAAAGTGCTTAAAAAGTAAGTAAGTGTGTGATTGTGGGTGAACTGAGTAAAGATGGAGGAAGTCATAATATCAGAGGAACTAGATCATTATCATTATGGGAACTGGGGCACTATCATTAGACTCACTAAACTGAACCCTTGCGCTCATTGGGTACAACAGACAGAACTAAAGGCACACAAAAGTAACCCATATCAAATACTAGTTACACCTATTGTGTGAATGCTCTACTTACAAATACATTGTTATTGTATAAGTAGATTAAATTATGACCTTAATATTTTTTTGCAACTGTTGTTCTTTAGATCAGTTTCATCATGGACTTAATTATATACTTAAGCTTGTTTCCTCTTTGCTGATTTTTACTTTGACAAAACGACACACTATTAAGGTCACTGTTTCATACTGCTGTCATATTGTGTTTCGCCTCAGGGGAATCGGTGGAAGGGCTGAGAGAAAATGACTACCTCTTGATTCATTCATGCCGGCAGTGGACCACAATTACCGCTCATAGCCTAGAGGAGGGCCATTATGTCATCGGACCGAAAATCGAGATCCCTGTCCATTATGAGGGTAAGCCATTCAGTTGTTGTAATGCACATTGTACTGTTTGAAGAAACATCTTCTGTTCTTTCTGACATCTTATGTATTTTCCATAAGTAAGACAAAGGAAATAAAAGTTAGTCTGCTAGGATTCACTGTTTTATTGCTACTTATTGAAACAGAAAAGGCAAAGATCTGTGCTGTTGTATTTCCCATCTGGTTTTAGTTGGGAGTTCATTAGCTAATTGGTCTTTTCATATTGACATTCCTCTCTGGCTGTGGAGAGGGTCAGTTGGCCACTTAAAGGAAACAAGACCTTCCTTAGAATTTAAAAACCCTGGATTTGGTTCATACAGACCTAGTTAACGGTCTATTTTACTACTTCTTTCTCTGGTGCAGTGTTTTTATATAATTTGTGAAAATATGATTTTTTTTATTTTTTTATTTCGGTTCAAGGAATAAAAATGAACAGTTATATGAATTAATTATGTCTAACTCTAAATTTTATTTGTTTATTTTGCCCAAATTTATATAATTTATTTCTTTGCTTTCCACGGAAATGGCCTGGCTTGAAATCCAATCTATTTATGTTTAGGTTAATGAAATGAACATATTGACTCAATGCTTTTGCTTTATCCTTGTCATGATGTTACATAATGGCTCGGTTTTACTAAATGTCACAGGCCAGTTTAAGCTGCTGGAGCAGGACAGGGACATTAAGGAGCCTGTGCAGTACTTCAACAGCGTGGAGGAAGTGGCCAAAGCATTCCCTGAGCGAGTTTATGTCATGGAGGAAATAACCTTCAATGTTAAGGTCTGGTTTTGTGCTCACCGCAGCCACTGTTTTTGATTTAGACACATTTATCTAGATATATGTCAGGCATTGTATTTGTAATTTCATTTGAAATACCGATTTGCCTCGGTAAAGGATTAGTTCTCTTTTAAAAAAACTTTTAATTTTGATACTGATAATTTACTCACCCCCATGTCATCCAAGATGTCTTTCTTTCTTCAGTCGTAAAGAAATTAAGGTTTTTGATGAAAACATTCCAGGATTTTTCTGCATATAATGGAATTCAATGGGCTCCAAACGGTCCAAATGACAGTTTCAGTGCACCTTCAAAGGGCTTTAAATGATACGAGACGATGAAGAAGGGTCTTATCTAGTGAAACGACCAGTCAATTAAAAAAATAAATAAAAAAGTTTAAGTTCTATAAGCACAAATTCTCACATTGCTCTGTTCTGTGA